TGATCATGCCACTGCACTCCAGCCTGGATGACAGAGCGAGACCCTGCCTAGAAAACAATAACAACAAAAAGCACTTCTTAATGACTGGGGAAAATATTAAATATTAGGTTAGAGAGTTAAAGACTCTTAGAAATTTTAAAGAATAAATGTATTTCACTCAACACGGAATCTTAAAATTATTACTTCTTCGGACCAGGAACGGTGGCTCAGGCCTGTAATCCCAGCACTTTGGGAGGCCGAGGAGGGCAGATCACTTGAGCTCAGGAGTTGGAGACCAGCCTGGACAGCATAGTGAAACCCCATCCCCACCAAAAAAAAAGAAATTACTTCCTCTCTCAGCCTTCAAAATTGAGGAGGGAGGGACAAATTGGGGTATCCCATAGCTGCCTGCAAAAAATACAATAGCTTATTCCATTCTCCGAAGCAGGATTTAAAATTTCAAAGTGAAAACAGCAGTCATATATAATTATACATGCTTAACTCTCTCACATTTTGTAGAAAAACACACAAAACACCCAAAAACAAAAACAAAAAAAAGAATGTATCAGGTTAGAAAACTTAAGTAGAATGCCAAAATCCAGATGACCTTGAAGTGTTGCTGGATCTTAAAATCACTAGAACTACTTCAAAATATATAAACAAGCCCCATTATTAAAAATATGAATATGAACACGATAAATAAGCGAGAGGAAAGGAAAACTCGTCACTGAGATAAACCATGACAGGTCCTGGGTAAAATACATTTAGATGATTCGGGGATGGAGGTACTAGAATTAGCAAGGCCCTCCCTGCAGCTTGCAACCTGTGGGGAAAAAGCAGACAGGTGGTAGGCCACTTGTATTATCCCTCCGGTCAAAGCCTCCTCTTTCAGAGTCAAAACCAAAAGTAGTTGAGACACTGTGCTTTTCTATCAAAATCACCCTTCACTGGTGAAAATTAGCTTCCACTGGCAACATTTGCTGGGAACTAGGCACTCTCCCACTCTTTCTTGTTCCAGTATCCTACTGATTTTTACAGACCTCAGTAACTTTTTCTGAACCAGGACTCAACTCTTCACTGAGCCAATGAAAAGCCATGCTCTGCAGACTTCAGACGCAGGGCCTAGCAGAGGACTCTGGTCTTAACTCCTGGTCCATGGCATTCCACTTACAGCACTGTCTCCCTCATTTATTTCAGTAAAGGTCAGAGGTGGGTGCCAACTCCACACCCCCTTCATATGTTCAGTCTACCCACTTGTATGCTTGACCTTGGACTTCACTTCAATACTCTGCATTGCAATTTGTGAATCATCCATTAAGGCTAAATCTTAAAAACTAATCTCTGTCTCCACTGGAGACATAGTAACTAGTAAGAGCCACAAATCCAGCTTTTTAAGATTTACCCTGATAGACCGACTCTCACCCAACAAAAGCTTCCCACATCCCACTCTACCACCAAAACAGAAAGTAAATGAAAGGCTCAGTAGATGGAATAAATTACTCTTCCTCCTCTGCCTCATACCTACACCCAGCCTCACCAACAATCTCCTCAGACTGCAAAAAGACACTCAAAGTAAACCAGGAAAAACCTAAGGTAGAAATTTTTAAAAAGTAAATAAGGCAAGACAAATAGAATTCCAAACTGCCTTTATATATATATATCTTATCTTTTAAATACAGACAGGGTCTCTTGCTATGTTGCCCAGGCTTGTTTCAAACTCCTGGGCTCAAGCAGTCCTCCTGCACTGGCCTCCCAAAGTGCTGGGATTATAGGCATGAGCCCCGACACCCAGCCCCAAACTGCTGATAGGTCATTTTACAATTATAAATTATCTCTTGATGCCACTTACAAAGTTCTAGGCATTGGTGGGTAACCTGGTTTGCTTTCAAATGGTCAGAGGACAAAGAACTGCCTCTCCTCACACTCAGAAACATGTCTATGAAGGCTATTTCCATTTCACATTTCAGAACCGGAGAGCCTCTAATACAAGGAAACGAGAGTTAAATTTTGATACACACACACACACACCCCTCTCAAGATTTAAGGTTCCAGATTGAGAAGCCTAGAAATTTGACTCTAAGGCTTGACCTGCTCACCTAGATAACCAAATTAATGAAGCTGCCAGATACAACCTCAATAGAGTACAGAGAAAGCTTCTGTACTCCAGGGACTAAGGTAACATTACTTTCCAAAGCAGATTAAGCCAAAGGGGAAACAGATAGACCTTCACAAGTTACAGCTACATAACAATTTGAGCCAGGCACAGTGACTCACACCTGTAATCCCAGCATTTTAGGAGGCAGAGATGGATGAAATGTTTGAGCACGAGGTTCAAGACCAGCCTGCAATATAGCAAACCCTGTCTTTACAAAAAAATACAAAAAAACTGGCCAGGCGTGGTGGCTCACGCCTGTAATCCCAGCACTTTGGGAGGCCGAGGCAGGTGGATCACCTGAGGTCAGGAGTTCCAGACCAGCCTGGCTAACATGGCAAAACCCCGTCTCTACTAAAAATACAAAAATTAGCTGGGCGTGGTGGTGGGCGCCTGTAATCC